ACTCTCCCTCGGTTTTCTCTCCCCTTGGCGGGGCAGCGTGGGGGACTTGCCTCGGAGACTTCTGTGGTTGAAGGGATTTTGCAGGAAGCGCTCCTCAGCCTGGTATAGGCTGTGTGGTTTCTCTTTTGTGCTCGCTTGTTCCTGTTTTGTTTTTTGTTTTTTTTTTTTACTTTTTCATTATTTTTAACCTTAATTTGCTGTGGAATAAGGGAAACTTTTTATCTCCGGAAACATGTCGACGGGAGAAAGTTTTGAGTCTCGGTTTGAAAAAATCGACGTGACTTTAAAGGACCCCAAATCCGAAGTGAACGTGGACTGTTTGCTGGTGAGTAGGGAGCGCCGATGGGCCCCCCGGTCCCGTCGCCCTGAATTTCTTACCCTGTGGGACCGAATCTCGCAGTCCTGGCTGAGTCACCACCCTGCTTAACTCCGCACTTGTGTTTTGTTTACTCAGCCTTGAGCTGAGGGTGCGTGAATGTCTCTGTGCAGGGAGAGCGGCTTTCAATGCCAAGGAGGCTCCCGCCCAGCCCTGCCTCAGACTTGTCAACTCTCTCGCTTCATCCACCTCTCTTTTCTTCACCGACTGTTCTAAGGGGCGGTGGACACTTTGTACAAAGGCGTGATTCGTGAGTGCCAGTCCTGTGTGTGAGCAGAAGACTGTAAATAGCTTTGATATACCAATTCCCTCTTCAACAACTTTTTTTTTTTTTTTGAGTGAGGTCCTGTTATGCTGTGGGTAAGCACTGCAGCAGTGACTTCAGCCTGTTTAGCGTAGAGTTTGCAAATGCTACTTAATGGCGTGTAAAACACAGCTCCAAGATTAATATGCCCTTCCAGGTGGGGAAGTAGCCATGGCAGGGATTTAAATGCAGTTTTAAACTAGTCGATGTGCTAGGCCTGGTATAGAGGGCTGCTTGCTTATTGTTTCCCTACTTGATCGTACCTGATGGTTCAATGGATCTCTCTAGCGCTGTCAGTGTTATAATTGCATCACAAGAAAGGAAACCATAGCACTTCCTGGCATAAAACCAGCATCAGTTGGTAGTTGCTTGACAAAGGTGGATGGTATTTTAGTTCTGATCATAAAAAGTACCTCCAGGAAGTGTATGCCAAATCTAACTAATTTGTTTGGGATCTAGCTGAGTACATAGATATGCCTAGAGATGCCCTTAAATAGTAGCAAATTAATTTGTGCTTTTATGCTGAAGTAGAGAGTTTCTTTTCTCTGTAGCAAGTGCTAAGAGTTCTTTAGTGTATTTTTTTTTTGTGGGTTTCTGTTGTTAGAAGAACAAGTGAATTGAATTTGTTCCTAGTATGAACTCTGACATTTGGGGTTGGGGAGGAAGGGATTGGGGGTGGAGATAGCTCTTAATAGTCATTCTTCATCTTCTGCACGGCTCTCAGCAGAAAGCTCACTTGAGCGTGAGGCAGTGGAGAGGTGAACAGAGTCTAATGAAAGAATCTGTACAAGTTCATGATATTGTGTACTCTCTTTAGCTTATTACTGATTTGTGAGCTTCTGAAATGTTGACGGGTCAAACCTACAGCCCTGGATAAAAGCAGAGCCTTGTGGATATTGCTGTGACAAGGGAAGGTAGCCCTTCGTCTTCCAGTTCACTTGCTGCTTTTGATCCAGTTTGTCTATCTGTCATCTTAGAACCACAGCTAATGAGAAGAGCTCTGATGCTTAGGATATACTGTGTCAATTTTGGTAACGCAAGGCTAGTGTCAAATCCCATGTTTTTACACCTAGCTTCTATTGTACGATGCCAAGAGTATAGATCCAGCTCAGAGTACAGAGTTTTACGTTAGCCATCGCTCAGTTTGCTAGTATGTGCTTTAATGCTGACCGTGCTCTGCGCACCTTCTTACAGTTATAGTAAGGAGGTTGCAGGTATCAAACATGCAGTTGGTAGTGTCTTTAACTGTATTCCTTCACCTTTTAATCAGTTTAAGGATTTGCCCCTTTTCAGTTATCTTAATTGTGATTTGGAGCTAAGCTGTAGTCAGTTTGGGAATGAACTTGTTGGGATGGTTCCTGTCGTGCTTGTGTAAAGTTTTAATACATGTGTTTGCATCTCATATCTTAAGAATTTCCTTCAAAGTGACAATTTCTTAAAAGTCTTGTGAGATTTTTGGGGCATATTTTTGTGTAAAAGGCAGCTTCTTATGGTATAGTCATCGGAACGATGTTGTCCTTTTTTCTTTTTCTTTTTTTTTTTTTTTTGCTAACCCTAGTTACAGATACTGTTCTTTTAAACTAATAACAGTTAAAGAAAGTGCTTCAGAAGAAATCAGCTGGTAGGTTAACTTTGTATGTTTGGTCACTATGTCAGTCTCCCTGCTGGCTGGACTTTTACTTTGTTTCATCTCTCATCCCAAGTTGGTTCTTGGGCTCTTTTCTATAGAATTTACAGATCCTAACCCTTTCTAAGAAGTTTAAATATTTTACACCAGTTCTTAGTGTGACATTTCACACTACAAGCATCATTCTTGGCCCAAGGTACTGTTGGTATATCAAATCCATCATAATCTGTGTGGGTATGTTTTTAAGGAAGAAATCCTTAGGTGTGGGTGTAATTGATCAACACATAAAATATCTTCCAAGATGAAGACCCCATTCCTCCCCCCCTAGCCCCCAGTCAAAGAGGGAAACTTGTCAGTCTCTAGGCGTGGTACACTTAAAAAGAAAATAAAATAATTTGTGATCAGACGCCATACAAAAAAATAAATCCTTTTTGATAAAACATTTTCAATCTAAAACCTTCTTTTCCTTTGATTAAAGTTGTGAATTAATATTATTCATAATTGTTTTCATTTTTCCTGAGCAAAGGTGTTAGCTAGCTGTGTGTATCTGAATGGTAACATATGAATAACTGATGCACAGACACTTTAAATTCGGCGTCTGATATTCTGTACAAGTAGGCTTAAAATGCTGGTGTGCCTTTAGTTTCAAGAAACACATATTTTAATTTTTTTTTGACTGTGCAAAAAAAAGTCTCAGCAATGCCTTTGACTTCTCCTAGGATGGTTTTGTCCTCTTTAGCTTTACTTCATTTTGCTTCTGTTTTTACTCTTCCCTATCAGTTTGTAGCCCCTGTAGACTAAAACACAGGCATGGAATAACTTTTAAATCAGTTTTTTAACCACTTTGGGTCTTGTGAATGTCATAAGCTAGGTGCTGTATGCTAGAAAGATTCTAGATTTAGATGTGAAGTAGTACGAGAACGCTAAGAAAAGAAGATGGGGGGGTCTGATAAAAGAAGGCATATTACGCTTTCAGGGAGGTGTAGGGGAAGAGTGCTGACAACAGAGCAGGTGGAAAAGACACACTGAGTATTGTATAACTTCAGTTGACATGCTGCAGGAAGGAAATTCAGAAAGCTGAGGTGCAGGAGAGAGATGTGCTTATTTTTCCCATTTTCTCATATGCAACTGTAATAAAAACAGGGTAAGAAAACTGACTAAGTTGCAACTGTCTGGAACTAAATTTATTTGTTTCTTTGAGGCTTCCATGCACTTGATTTAGTACTAGGCTGGGAAATCAAAGATAGGCTGTCATTTTTGGTGAGCCATGAAGAGGCCAAAGCTGAAGTTTTGTGTAAAGCATGTGCCACAACATAATGTCGTGCTTTTTCTCCAAGTATCAGATACTGGAAGTCCCGCAATCTTAAAAAGATCTAATAATGCTGTGAAGGCTGCGTTAGATAAGGAGTCACACTTTAGGGTGTGCAATGATCAGATACTGGTGAATACCGTAGGTGTGCTAAGTAAAGCCAAAGGCGATGTAAGTAACTAGCTATTAACTTGAGCTTCGTGTCTCATTAATGATAGTAAGCAGTGGAAAGTTGTATTCAATGAGCATACTTCTACAACAATTCTGGAATAAAACCAGGTTTCTTATTCCTCTGTGTTTCTTACTAAATCCTTGGGATTTATGGGCTTCCAGTTTTTGGAGAGTAGGGAGGGAGGAGTGTAATGGGTGAATGGATGGGGGATGTCTTGACCTGAAGCTGCCTATGCTTTTGATTCAAAAATAACTAGTAAATTTTTGTGAAAATGCTTTTTGGTGCTCTCTCTGCTCTGGTAATAACTCACAAAGAGTCTTTTGATGTTTTATGTAGACACTTGAGTAACTCGGTTATTCAAGTACTTGGTCAATTACTCAAGTAGTTGATTTTTAAAGCTTCAGACTTTTGATGGTCTTGATATTCAAAGATGTCAAATGTTTCACTTGTTCAGCAGTTTGGCTTCAACCTAACTGATAGCAGTAAACATTGCATATGACAAACTTGGTTTATCTAGTCTCAAGAGGTTTCCGTTTTTGTTGCACCAAAAATACACAGGTGCGGAGCATGATTTACCTGGTTTTCCTAGGTCTGTTTCATATTCAGCGGGATGAATTCATGTTGGTCTGTCTTGCATAGGAGAAGGTGAGATGACCTCATCTTTGGGATTTGGAGTTCTGAATCTCTATTGTCACAAGACCTTTTGTCCCTTCTGCTACACTTGTTAGAGAGCACTTCTGAAGACCTTGTGGTTAGGGAGTTGGTAAATAAATAACAGTAAAGAATATGACTTAAAGTACCTTTATTTCAAAAGTTCATATCTACCAAATTAACTGTTCAAAATCACCTTCACTGAAACTACATTAACTATGCTCTTAGGATCTGAGTGATAAAGCGCCAGAGAAACTTGGTATCCAAGAAGCTTACTCGTTTGCTAATGAAGCTTTTGCATAGAAAAAGCAGAGTTTGAACATTTGCAGATTGTCAGGTTCAGAATGCTGTAAGTTGTCTGGAGGCAGTTCCAAGTAAGGGGAAATGCCATGGTTGACTAAATCTCCTTGGACACGTTTCTTTAGATCCAAGTGCAAGGTCCTGCGCTTGGGTTGGGGCAATCACCAGTATCGGTACAGACTGGATACTGAATGGATCGAGAGCGGCGCTGCGGGGAAGGGCTTGGGAATATTTGGAAAAAAAGTCTGAATGTCTCTCTTTTTTGACAGAGACACACCTTTTACCAGGGCCTGTAGTGACAGGACAAGGGGCAGCGGTTTTAAACTGAGTGAGGCTAGATTTAGATTGGACATAAGGAGGAAGGTTTTGTTACTATGAGGTGGTGAAGCACCAGAACAGGTCGCCCAGAGAAGCTGTGGCTGCCCCATCCCTGGAAGTGTTCAAGGCCAGGTTGGATGGGGCTGTGAGCAGCCTGCTGTAGTGGAAGGTGTCCTTACCCATGGCCATGGGGGTTGGAACGAGATCATCTTTAAGGTCCCTTTCAACCCAAATGATTCTGTGATTTCTGTAGTTAGATCTGAAGTAA